AGCCATCTCTTCAGCATGGGAAAAATCAAAGATCAAGGAGAGTGGACTATGAGTCACTCCCACAACCTAAGAGCTAAAACACCACATAATACCCAATCGCCTCTTTGGCATGGGCAAGATCAAGGAGAGTGGACTGCGAGTCGCTCCCAGAGCCTAAGGGCCAAAATATCGAACTAGCGAAGACCTCCTCACCACATAAGACCCAATCGCCTCTTCGGCATGGGAAAAATCAAAGAGTGAACTGCGATTCGCTCCCAGAGGTGCCATGTGTCACAATATCATTGGAGGGCCATGTGTCACAATATCATTGGATGGCCAAATCTGCCCTCATTATTTGCCCCCCACTCCCGAGCTGAAAGTAACTCAACGAAGGGAGTAGATTGCTCCTTTTGGCTTGAAATGACTAATTCAATGAGCTCGTAAGCGTCAATTCAATTCCTTAAGCTCTGGGAATGATTCGTAGTCCACTCTCCTTACCCTTGATTTTGACCATGCCGAAGAGGTGACTGGGTCTTATATGGTGCCGAAGTCTTTGCCAGTTCAGAACTTTAGCCCTTAGGCTCTGGGAGCGACTCGTAGTCCACTCTCCTTAATCTTTGATTTTGCCCGTGCCGAAGAGGCGACTGGGTCTTATGTGGTGCCGAGGTCTTTTATCAGCTCGACACCTTAGAGCTACGGTTGCGTTGCATCAGCTTCGTTAGTGACGTTGGTTACCCACTCCTATAAGAAGCTACTAGGAGCTCGACCTACGGGGGCAGCACTACTGACTTTAGGTCACCAGCTTGCACGGGAGCCTTGGAAGGCTCGACTAGCAGGGGCGTCCATGCAGTCTATTGGTCGCCTACTCCTGCGGAAGCCACGAAGAGCTCATCTTTGTAGAGGGTACCTCGTGAAGAGGACTGATGAGGCTTTATCCGAGTTGAAATAAAGTTGGTAGAGTTGCTTAGTTTGTTGGCCATCAACTTCCTGCATAGTTTTTGAGTTCATAAAAAATGGAAACTAGAAAGTGAGAGCTTTTAGTTTCTAAAAGGTGAGAACTTAGCTTTCTGGAAGAAGAGGACTTAGCCTTTCGGAGGATGAGAATTTAGCTTTTTGTACCGTTTCCCACAGATGGCGCCAATTGATAAATCAATTTTTGGTGATGTATCAATTTTTTGTGCTAAGTACCTCGTCATTTGGTCTACTTCCAAGTGGCCGATGACTCAGAGGCCGAAGTGAACTTTTGGTGTATGAGGACCTGGATGCCGAGCTGGGGGCAAATTAGGTGCCGAGTTAACTGGGCCAAGCTGGGCAGCTTAGGTGCCAAACTGACTGGGCCGAGCTAGGTAGGTTAGGTGACGAGCTGCCTATTAGGTGCCAAGCTGACTAGAGGGTCGAGCTGCCTATTGGTTGTCGAGCTGACCAGAGGGCCGAGCTGCCTGGTGGCGAACTAGATTGATTGTTGAGTTTCGTAGTTCTTTAGAGACCTACAATGAATCAATGTCAGAGGACCCAGGGTGGCTAACCCGGCGAGGTCGCTCCAATGCATAAGTCAGTACTCTCATAGTAGACTACGAGCTAAAAATCACAAAGTATGAGAGCTAGAATATGCTTACTTGCCCCCCCCCCCTATGCCATTGGGGTTGGTGCCTTTATATAGGCATTGTTTGGTGTGGGTTTCACGCACCGCATCTGAGATTTTCGAGAAGTCTTCTAAGTGGTCTGAGATTCCCTGAGGCAACCGCCATGCACGTTGACCACCCTCTGGATCGTTCGGCACGTGGGGCAACTTCCAAGGATCTTGTGAGTGTTAGGATATGCATGCCAAATTTGTTGGCGAGCACGTCTCGCAGGTCGGTGCCTGGGCCAGGCCGCCAGGTCGCGCCCGTGCCAGGCCGCTAGGTCGGCGCCTGTGCTAGGCCGCCAAGTTGGCGCCCGTGCCAGGTCGCCAGT